CATAGTACATCTACATAGTACATCTACAGTAATAACTACACAACTGTTTTACCAATAAACCTGCATGCATATTTTTGGTCTGCAGGAGAAAACCTTAATTAGTGATGTGCAGATCAAAACAGAAATATTAATACCACCAGAACTCTAGAATCTACTACTACTACTACTACTACTACTACTACTACTACTACTACTACTACTACTTTTTGTTATAAAGCCCTTTAAAACCACCACAGCTGCAACAAAGTGCTGTACATATAAAAACAAAACATGAAAAACACAAAACAAAAATTTATAACAGTAAAATAGGAATAAATCTAAAAACAAGCCTCAGGCTGTGCTAAAAGCCAGGGAGTAGAAATGTGTTTTTAGACAAGTTTTAAAAGTGGACAGTGAACAGGCTTGTCTGACAGAAAATGGCAGACTGTTCCATAATCTTGGAGCAGCAATACAAAAAGCTCTGTCTCCTCTCAGCTTACGTTTGGACCTCGGCACCTCCAGGAGCAGCTGATCTGCTGACCTGAGGCACCGAGCAGGAGAGTGTGTGTGAATCAGCTCAGACAAATAGGGTGGGGCAAGACCATTCAGACTCTTCAAATCAAATAAAAGAACCTTAAAATGAATTCTAACATGAACAGGTAGCCAGTGGAGGGAGGCCAGAGTGGGGGTGATGTGCTCCATCTTACAAACTCCAGTTAGCAGGTGAGCTGCAGCATTTTGAACCAACTGAAGGCATCTGAGGGAGGTCTGGCTGACTCCGAGGTAAAGAGCGTTGCAGTAATCAAGCCGTGACATAACAAAAGCATGAAAGTTGAGAGAGAAGAGAAGAGTTGTTTTGGAAGAAACAGTTTAACCTTTGCTAGCTGCCTGAGATGATGAAAACTGGCCTTGACTACTGCTCCAATCTGGGAGTCCAATTTAAAATCATTGTCCATTTTCAAATCCAASTTACAAACTGTCTGCTTTACACGCAGTGCCAGGGGACCCAGATCAACAGGGGAAGGTTCACAGGAGGGACAAAACACAACCACTTCTGTTTTTTTTTCTCATTAAAATCTAAAAAGTTTAAAGACATCCAAGCTTTGATGTCTTCAAGACACAACAGAAGTGGCATATACTGTACATATATCCGACTATTGTCAGCATAGCAATGAAAAAATATCCCATGCTTCCTGAGTAAAGAACCCAAAGGAAGGGGGTAAAGAGGAAAARGCAGAGAACCTAAGATCGAACCCTGGGGAACCCCAAAAGACAAAGGAGCAGTGGAGGAATCAGAACCAGCTATGTTTACACACATTGTTCCATCAGACAGATATGATCTCAACCAGTTTAGTGCAGTACAACAGATACCKTGGTGCTCTAGATGTGAAATCAAAATCAGAATCAGCTTTATTGGACAAGTATGTTGACACACACAAAGAATTTGTTTCCGGTAGCTGGTGTCTCTCCAATACACATGCATACAATATACACAGGGATGGAAGCACAATAGCATAAGACAGGAACATTATAGTCTGTTGATTATATCCAATAATATATAAATTAGGCACTAGTTAGCAGGTGTAGGGTTTGGGATTGTTCATCAGGGAGATGCCCTGGGGGGAGAAGAAGCTATTTTTGTGTCTGGATATTTTTGAGCATGAGGCTCTATGGGGCCTGCCGGAGGGGAGAAGTTGTAAGAGGCTATGTCCTGGATGTGTGGAGTCTGACAAGATTTTCTCTGCCCATTTCCTGTTTCTTGTGGCGTAAATGTCCTGAAGCGTGGGCAGGGGAGCACCAACGACTCTCTCAGCTGTTCTGATTGTTCGTTGCAGTCTGGTTTTGTCCTGCTGGGTGGCTGCTCCGAACCAGACTGTGATGGATGTGCACAGGACAGATTCTATGAATCATATTGATTACATTCTTTTTTTCAGACTGTGCCTGACAAATGAAATATTCCAACAGAGAATAAATAAATAAAAATAAAATCCTTCACTGTGTGAGAAATTAGGTAAATAAAAAACAGTCTTTTACAGTAATGAACAAAAATCTATAGTAGGCCTATACTATAAGAGTATAAGAGAACAAGACAGGCCTGAAGACTAATTGCAAATTGAAAAATTCAGTGAAGAAGTGTCAAACAGGTGCTTTTGGTGATTTCATACTGATCAGGGAGTTTCTAAGAGCTTGGTTTCTGTTCTGTAACCACAGCTAAAACGGAGTTTGGACTTCTTGAATGACATCTGCGTTAACTGTTTTGGAAAAGGGTGGAAAATCTGTGTCAATTCAATGAGAATGGGTTAACATATTTGCAAGAGGTGTCCTGCTCTGCTGAGATGGTGATGAAGACTGAGAGTTTCCCAGTTTCTTCAAACAGGTCAAAGCAATCAATAAAAACTGTAAAGGTAGCACAACCCCTGTTGGTTGCCGCATGACCTGATTACCTGTTTCCCCCATGTTTTTGTCGTGTGTGTCTTCTTGAATGGGTGTTTTTAAATGTAATTTCATTGTGCTCTGTCCAATGACAATAAAATCATCATCAATCAATCAATCAACCACATATATTTACATATTGATTCTGCCTTGGAATGCTGTTGGTCATTCTGACGACTAACCACTAGTTGAAAAACCAGTTGGTGCAGCTACCTGGAGGTCTATTTATGTAACCTATATTGTTAAGATGTTTATCTGTCAGACCTGACAGGAATGACCGACTCTATAATGATTGAGAAACAGGTGTGGTTGTTTAGCCAGGCTTTAAAAAGGTSTTGTTTCGGTCCAGGAGTTTCAGCTGGGATGCACGATTCGCCCAACATGCAGGTCTGTGTCTGATCTTAACTAGTGGTGAAAACTTTTAACTGGTTTCTCTGTTTTGCCTGTCATCTAAAAAACTAAGTCATTTGGCTATGTTATAACGTTGAAGTAAAATTTATGTGCAAAAGTTCTTGTTCAATAATGTTTTACCAAATGCTTACTGGGACGATTGCTTTTTAATCCAGGTCAACATGAAAGGTCTCATACTGATGCTCTTGTTGAGCTTCTTGGTCCAGATTGTGGTGCGTATAAAACGTTGGAAACAATTCCCTACACTTTGTTTAAAGTCAAATGGAATGTCATTAAATCAATTTTTTTACTCCATTTAAACAGAAAGCAGACAGTCCTGAAGGTAAGTAGTATTCTGTAATATTTTGATTATAAAGTTTAAAAACTCTTTAAAGTTGCGATCATTCTAAAGTTTCTTCTTTTGTTCTCCTTGGAAAAGACTGCTCGCAGATTAAAAAGCAGTCCCCACAGGCTCCCAGTAAAGTTTATTATATCCAGCCTGCTGGAAGCAGCACTCGCTTCCAGGTATCAAACTGGGCTGTTTAGAAAATTTCACTTTATAATTGTGTGTTAAATTTTGCTTGACAGATTCAGTGTTGGACTTCCACAGGTGTACTGTGCGATGCGTGCTGATGGAGGATGGACTGTGTTTCAAAAACGCACTGGACCATCGCTGTCTTTCAATAGAGACTGGGCCGCTTATAAATCTGGGTTTGGATCCCTGTCAAGTATGTGAAAAATACTATGGTTTCTGTTAACAGTTTATCTTTAAAAAAAAGATATAAAATGATCTGATCAGACTAATTGCTGATCCCATAGATGACCATTGGCTCGGTCTGGAAAAGGTTTTCCTCATCACCAAAGACCCAACCAARAACTGGACTTTGAGGGTGGACCTGTGGGACCATGAAGGTGGCACTGCTTATGCCGAGTACAAGAACTTCAGACTTGGAGATGAGCAAACAGCTTACAAACTGCAAGTTGGAGTGTACAGTGGAAATGCAGGTACTAGAGCATATTTTACTCTAGTGTAGTTCAACCCAGGGGTTGATTTTACTTACAAAATCCAGATCTTTTAAAATAAAACACGTCAATTTTACAATAAAACATGAAGCTCAATCGGGAATAGTGTGCTTTGACTTCTGGTTGCCATATGTTATACCTGTACAATGTAGACAAAGTTCACAAAAAAATGTAAGAAAAATAATGGAGGTCAATAGGATTTTTGCCAAACACATCAGAAAACCCTTGTCTTTGAAGCTCTGTTTATAGTAAGTCAAGTATACTATCTAAACTGGTCCTTTAATGGTTTTTAAGTAAACATACAAGTTTTTATTAAGACTATTGTATGCAGTGCATACAAAAAAAATTAACAGTAATAAAATGTCACTAACACATTTTTAATATTTAGTTCACTTTCTGAATATAAAATCCACCTTCAAAAAGATTATCAGTGTTGGTTGCTTTTGTCACAGATGACTTCTAACGCTGCTAATGCTGCTAACGCTGTGAACACTGCTGAATGGCATTTAAAATCAAAATTTTAAGTGTTCACTGAAAACAATATGGATGGTACCTGTGGTGCAGTTCAGACACCGGCCACAACTGTAAGTTTGATGTATTGTGTGGGAACATTAGCAGCGTTAGCGGTTACTTTTGTCTCAGGATGATGTCACAACAAAAGCCGATCCATTTCGAAATACTTACATAAAATGTATACTTCAACATCTAGCCACAACACTTAAGA